CAGCATGTGCGATATGAAAACGGTATACATACACATAATTATCTTGAAACGCGAATATCTACCTACTTCCAGAAATTTTATTTTTAAAGTATAATACTTGAGATTCGATAAATCGTGCAGATAAATTTGAAAAACAGGGTTATTGATCGATTCGATAAAGTTCAGTGTCTCCCATGTCCGTTAATCACAAAAATATTACTTTGCTTCAGGACAGTGTTGTGTCATCAATTTGATATCTCAAAGGACATAGGAGATACTGAACCGAACCGAATGAGTCTCGGAATAAGTAGACAATATTTCATGATGCATGATTCTATACCTAGAAAATAATGACGGATTCTCATTCAAGATCACTCGGAACATACCTGTACTAATTTTCATCATCATAAAATACAGGGTGTCCAAATTTTTTTTTATTATTTTTTGGTTGATAAAAAATTGCCTACCCACCCTTTTTGTTTTCTCAGACACATTGTATATTTGAATGATAATAATCGGGGCTGATATGTTCGAAGTAGTCCTAAATATCCATTTGACATTAGTTCTTCCCAAAAATACCACAGTACTACATTTTCTGATCAAGTATACAAAAAATATATCTATTAATCCGATTTTTCGGACACTCTTTGTTTTATGATGATGAAAATCGGTACAGGGTTACATTGAGTGATCTAGGTTCAGAATCTATCATTAGTTTTAGTGAAAAAATAAAATCCCCAATAGTAATTCACGAAATATGGGTCAATAAAATTGGTCGCAGTTGATGGCCACGATAACAGTCCAAGAATAAAATCACTTTTTTTGTTTGATGGATATTTCAAATACCTATAGAACAAACAAAAGTTTTTCGAAATCGATCAGATAAGATAATACGGATTTTACAGGCGGTGGTAAAGTTCTTAAAGTGGACACACTGTATATATAGCACGTGGTCACAGAACATAACATGCAGTGCACTGTTAAATACCCGAGTAAATACCAGAATGTTTGATGTGTATTTTTGCCTTTTTTTTCAATATAAATAAATCAGAATTCTGATCACCCTGTATCTGTTCCAATTAAATGTCAGTAGATAGTAAATCACAAGTTGATATGGGGACATGAGAGCCGTTTCGACCAATAATGAATAGTTTCGACACAAAAAATGTCAAAGTTGAAAAATCTCGATTTTGAACACTTTATATCCCTGAAACCATAACAGCTAGACCCCAAGTATCATGCATTGATGAAATCAGCTCTTCGGGGAGAATCTAAAAATGCAATGGAATACAAGGTGTTCTATTTGAAATAACAAAGTTGTTGCTTCTTTTCGTTAGCAGTGGCAACGCCGCAGGGCTGAAAATATTTTAGGACGATGTCCCCCTCGAAAACGTAGTTGATGTGTTTCAGATTCTTTTCATAATCCGGTTTTGGCGACCTACAGAGTCTCTGTTTCGTTTTCAAAGGCCCACTCTGTATATTCAACAGTATAAAATGTTATTTTGGTTTTGAAATCTATGATCTGCATGCTGATAATAATCACGCTGTAGATATCCTTGTTTATGAAATTCATATTTCCACTCCAAAGAGCATTTTATGTGAACCAGCTCTCCTTTGTAAGAAATCAAGAGTTTCAGTGTTTCAGTTTGAAAGAAAATCATTTTCAAAAATATTCTCAAAAATCGTTATTACTCTGAAACAGTTGAAAATAGTAATGAATTACCTTATATATTTTATGGTTTATATCAGAGTAACATGCAGAATGAATAATGGAAAAAAAAGTGGTGTTCTATTGGAAATAAGGGAATTCTATTTTCTTTCCGTATTCGTAAGTGCGCTATGCCAGATTCATCCTCGGATTTACCCAAAAATTTTCAGAGTTTTATTCAACTCAGCATAATATTGAAAATGAATAGGTTACCTGAATGAACGTGAAATCATAAAATTCAGTACTATATCTTTATTGTTTCATTACAATTTTATCGATCTTTTTCTCCTGGTTATACAAAGTGTAATTCAATTGATGATTAGAAATATAGGATGTAGACATTTTGAGAAAAGTTCATATGAACATAATATATGCCCTGAACCTCTTAACTTTGAAGCAATAGGGTGTTGAAATTTTAAGAAAAAAATTTCTTATAGTAACTTTGATACTGTTCTAGATATTCTCATAAAATTTGACATGCACCTACTAAGCACTGATGGCCAGTTCGTGTCCGTATGGGATGTAAATACTGGAGATTTTTTTAAAAAATAAATACAATTCTCATTCCTTTTGCAATAACTTGAGTTACATATTTGAAAATGATGAAACCATTTTGGCCAATTCAATCAACGACTTCACTTCAATAAAAGTTAGACAAAAACACATCTTACCTACAAACTACACCACATTGTTTCAGTTGGTGCATGTCAAATTTCATGAGAATATCTAGAATAGTATGTTGAAGTTATCATAAGGAAATGCTTATTTTCATAAAAATTCCAAACCCTATAGCTCGGAAGTTGAGAGGTTCAGGGCATATGTTCATATCAACTTTTCTTCTCAAAATGAGCTGAGGAACCATGTCCTATATTTCTAGCCATAAATTGAATCACACCCTGTATAGGTTGAAATTAAATCCCTTTATTCCAAGATTGGATTCTAGTGATAATTAATTATATTATATCGTTCTCAACAAAACTGAATCAAAGTGAAGCAGTCCAGATAAATTCCTATTTATTTCATTGTAGTTGCCAAAGAAGAACTCTGTCATTGTTATTTTTCACATTGGAATAATTATTATTATAACACCTCTAGGTATACCGCTGGGTATACCCTCTAATACCTTTACAGCGCGAACCAGGTCATAAAATGCTAATGAGGGAAACGGTTCGTTCCTAGGCAATGAATAGTACATGTGCATAGACAAAAATATTTCAATTCGACCTAGAGTCGTTTCTTTTAATTTGAGCATCACTGTACAAGAGGAATTTTCACTCTACCACTGTCTAGGAGTTAATGGAGGCCATTTTGAACATCTTTTGTGAATACCTGTTCAATAATCTATTATTTACATTCATTTACTCACAATTAAAAAACGACTTGTTGGAACTCGAAAAACTATCCACTGCTAGTTTCGGAATTGGAATACCTTCGCAATGATGCGTATAACACGACCCTTAATACCCTTATTCCCTATTCAAATTATTGAGGGGGTTGCTCTGGGGAGTAGAGGGTTGAACAATAATGGATTATTTATTTCGCGTCAATAGGTGTCCTCCTCCATATTAAAATCGACCTGTTTCGTCAATTTTTTGTAAAATAATAATTCTGGGAGATATCGAGGGTGGATAGTATTAAATGGACCATCCGGTATATACCTTTTGACCGAATATGAAAGAGCACTTTTTTCTGAGATGAAAAACTTGCCTAAAATACTTCCCAACGTCTATTTTCCAACTCGTAGCATTGACCTTCTTACCTGGTGAAGAGCATTCAGATATCTTTCTGTTCTGGTTTCTTTTCGATTGCAGTGCGTATCAGAACCTGGTGAAGAGCATTCAGATATCTTTCTGTTCTGCTTTCTTTTTGATTGCTGTGCGCATCAGATAAAGCTGATGGTGCGCCGTCTACTTATATAGAGCTGCGTCATTTGCTGGAAAGGGTATGCGCAGTGAAACGCACTTTCGAGATACTGCGTGAATCGCAGTCGTTCTTTCAGGTTTTGTCCAGTAGGGGTAAAAATGAAACATTGGTTATAGTTGCCGAAATCATTGAATCATATTTATTTGAATAATACAATACAGTTTTCAATTAATCATTCAGTAGCTGCAAAAATTGCCGCGGACTATATAATAAAGATTGCACGTTATTTTACACGATTCTAATATTGCAGCTCGTTCAGAGCTGCATTTTTATAAAAAATGAAACAGTAACTAAATTTATACTTATTAGTTATTCAATATTATTTTCTAATCAATACATTAGAGTAAAATTTTATAGGAAATGATTATTCAGAATAATCAGAAAATATACAAGTTTTTTTTTAAATTATCACCCGATCAAGAGACACAACAAAATAAATAAATTAACGAATAAATAAACATGTAAGGACAACTGAAGGTAGTGCATTTCATAACGCAGACTTTATGATTCAATAATGAATATTATCTCACACCTTACATTTATAAAAACTTTATTACAAATCTGCAACTTTCATATTTGAGATAATGTAGTTGTGAATGTTTAGTAGTGGTTACTGGTCTATTGAAACCAAAATATGACACGTAGCATACCCCTCTTTCAACTGTAGAACAGCTATTAAATGGGCTTTGCCCTTTTTTGTGCGAAACATATGGGGGTATTCACTGCATGGTTCAATTCTTTTCAGAAACTAAAAGAAGAGCAGCTCCATACTATTTGGAGAACAAGTACATAAAAAACAAAAAATATACTTCAATAATTTCATTCTCTCCTTGTATATTAGAATACTATGCGACAGTTATTTTGCTGCTGACGCAATTCTCTGTAGTTTTAAAATTCCCTGACATGAACAATACTTTTCCAATAATGAAAATTCTCAATTTTCTTTGCTTTTGTCGATCACTGTATCTACGATACAATTTTGGAAAACAAATTGTTTGCTGAATGTAGTTCACTTATTCGGGAGAATGAAGAGACTTTAAGTCGGTTGGGACAATTTTTTGAAATACTAGAGGACATCAACTTTCCATCAACCTCGATCGCACGAGAGGGAAACCCTGTTATGTTCGTAGAACATCTTACGCAACTGGGGTAGCTGTGTTTCAGCTGGAATTACAATGTATACCGTGCTTTCATTCGAAAACACTACATAGGCAAAGTATTCGGTCTGGCTCGGGGCTAGCAGCTACGTAGAAATGGAGGATTAGCGTCGAGATATCAATGGCTCGCTGCTACCACTTTCATATGGTTTGTTCTCGTTCGAAAAATAAACAGTCCGAAACCATCGAAAGCATGCGCAGTTTCATGGAACATGAAAAATGCCAATAGTTCTGTGAAACTGCGCATGCTCCCTTCCCATCAAATAACGAGAGAGTTATATTATGTCCTACGTAGGGAGTAAATGTGAAAGCACTGTATACCCTATGTCAATTCGCTTTGAATACTGTATCATCGAGCGGTAAACTGAAAACAAATTAAATATCTAATAATCATCCCTATATAGATTTGTAACGTGAGACGCATTCTCTCAGCTATATAATATATATATAACATTTTTACAACTTGCGCATGGCCATGAACATGTTCTGCTTGCGCACAACTCACAAACACTGAGATCACTAAATTAATATTTACACGACGCATCCTGACTCCATCACACTCTGAATGTCTCATTGTAAGTTCTGCCTCTTCGATACATGCTCGTCTTCATTGTCTGATATTATATCGCTATTTTCATCCGTCTGGTTGTCCAGCACTTCTTGTTTTCGCTTTGCTGTCGCCATTTCAGCTGCGTGTTTTTTCCGCCATTTTGTTCGTCGATTCTGGAACCAAACCTGAAACAAAACATTGAATGAATTTCAGCACAAATGACTGATCATACGTTCCCAGAAAATACGAGATAACTGGTAATTCAATATTGGCCCATTCATTTTATCGATGACAGACGCCTGGCAATACATTTGTCGGTGATAAAAAAGAGTACTTTTTCATTGCTATTCCTATATCATATAATGAGTATATTGCACTTTAATGATTATAGTGGTACATCATATTATATTTCCTATATATAGATTTAGGATGTGAATCATTCAATTTTTACGGCATTGGGCATACAATTAGCATTTTCCAGTTTTCAAAGGTCATTCGAACAGTACTGGTTGAACGATGATCCAACAACATCGATTCTCTAATGTCAAAAAGACATCAATAAAATCACAATGGACCATTTATTTATCAGATGCATTTCATTGGCATCATTTATTCTACAATACCTACCTAGACAAGTGATGTGTTTTCATGATGTTAAATTAGGAGTACCGCAAGGGTCTGTTTTAGGACCCCTACTATTCGTGCTATTTGTCAACGACCTGCCCGAAAACGTAACTGATTGCTACATCACCATGTTTGCTGATGACACAACAATTACAGTTGCTAGTCCTGATCCAGATGTACTATTAACAAATGTCGGCAAAATCATTGATTCGTTCACATCATCGTGTGACAGAAATCAACTCATTTTAAACACAACAAAGTCAGTTTCAATGAAATTCTATAATAGGAAAGATAATATCCCTGGTGAAATAAACGCTATTGATGAAATAGTTATGTCGCATGATGTAAAATTCTTGGGAACATTTTTAGATGAGCGGTTAGACTGGGATCTACATATCAATCATGTATGCAAGAAACTAAATTCAGCATTCTTTGCAATTAAGCAAATGGCATTTATTATGCAATGGTATACTCGCACATTTCCTTCAACACTATGTCATGGGGATGTGGTAAAGATTTTGGTAGAGTGTTTATAGGGCAGAAACGTATCGTAAGATTAATATTTGATATGGACTATCGAGATAGTTGCAAACCAATATTTATAAGAGAGAAATTGTTGACTGCTCCATCCATCTATATTTTGAAATGTTTGAAATGCATTAGAAGCAACTTGAAATCCTTCGATACCAATGCTTCTTCGCATGCTTACAACACACGCAATGGTAGTCACCTAAAAATACCATACCACAAAACCACGAAATTCCAAAATTCTCCTCTCTACAAAGCACTGAGTTTCTACAACAAACTGCCAACGGAAATTAAAAATTCTGAATGTGATAGATTATTTTTTAACAAAATAAAATGTTTGCTGACTGACAAATGTTACTATTCCTATCAAGAATATTTGAATGATCCATTATTGTGATTTATTTTACTTGTAGTGTGCTGTCATCCTATTCCGTAATATAACTTCAATTCAGTGATTTTAATTATATATGGTCGTGGTCATTTGGACTCAGTCTATGATTTCATTTATACTGTTAATCGTTTCACTTTTAAATATGTATCCTGTGTTGTGCTGTCGTCAGATCCGTTTTGATTTTATTTATTCATACGATTGTTATTTTTACTCAATGATCTACAATTTGGTTTTATTGTATCATGTGACTTACGCATTGTATGACTTACCATATGTACACACTGTACCTAAATGGCGAATAAATTATTATTATTGGGAATGCACTGAAAATTGGTACGTCTGTCAGTCAACACTGATGGACGAACAATGAATGAGCAATAGATAAGTACCTACTGCTTCGCCAATATTGGGCCGGGCCATAGGAACACTTTTCTGTGACTGATATTCTGCATAGATATTATCTATTCAAGATATAACTTCTATAATTACGATATATGAGCTATCGTATCTTATATCATCATTAAAATTATTGTTTTGATCACCTTTATATATTTCCGTTTATTTTTTTTATTTACTAGTCTGGAGATCTGACCACTTTTCCCGTTTTGGTGTTTCTTGACAACACAGAGTGAAAATTAAAACGGGTGGCGCTTTATTTTGAAATATCAATTATTATATATATATTTATTTTATATTCGGTTTTTGTTGAACTCACACCTCACCACTGAGTCAGCGGGCATACTCTGGTCAAGAAACAGTGAATAGAAGTTCAATTTCGTAATTGAAATCTTAACGTAAAGCACCCGTAACAATGTGTATATAGGTATTTGGCTGTTATTTTCTTCAAATTGATGCGGAAAACAGGACTACCTATTTGTCATGGAAAATCATTCAAACTTGATTGCATCAGAAATAATGCAAGGAGCTCTGAATATTTTGTCGTGCACAATCAGCGCTGTTTTAACCATTAGGGTAGACTATAATGTATAAGTGGCTGATGCAAAGGGATTCATAACATCTCAAACTGGTACGTGTATATGATAAGAAGACTCTACGGGTAAACCCCGCAAAAACTCACATACAAAAAAGCTGGATACCCTGACGTTTCCAGCTATCTTTCCTGATGCCACCCCTTGATGTATTGAGCAAGGCGGAGGCTGAGGATGAGAGAACATCGGCCGAAATTTAACAAAAATCGGAAACCCATTCGCACGGGTGGGGCTAAACAGAATGACAAGCTGCCATTAGAATCATCACCGAGGGAAGTAGGGATGTAAGTAATTATTGAAAGATGGTTGTCAATTCTCCATTCATGAGCCAATCTGGAATTTCGATTCGATCGTTGCCAAAGAGAAATCGACAAGAATTGCCTCTGTTCGCAACTGATAATGACATCAATTTTCATACTTTATCGTCAGACTCGGTAATACATACAAAGCGACCATCATGTTTCACGTTGAGCATTAGTCTTTAATAAAAGTTCATCAGGATGAGTCGAAGGAGAGCAGGAATCTTCAATTATTAGTAGTCGTAAACGTCCATTTATTTAGGAGTGGAGGGTTCAGGAGTTTTCTCCGGGAGAGAATGAAGAACTGCAAATATACCCAGCAAACATTGAACTAGCGGGAGAAGTCCGGCCTAGTGCAGGCTAGTCTGGGAAAGTGACGATGGCGGGGTATTGGTTATGAGCCGATGATTTTTTCATGCCAAGTAACCATCAGTTAAAAATACGATGATGGCCTTGTGATGGTAAGATGTTTGTGACTAATTGAATCCTAACGAGATCTGGCCCTTTGCTGGTCAATTTCATGTTCGCTACTCGTCCCCCTGGTGGATGTTCTAGGAACGTCTACATCAACAATCAGCTAGCTGATCATGATTATATGTAACTAAGATGGCTGACTCTCGTGAGTGGTGATCGCGTGCTAGTTTGTTTATGTCGAATTAATGTGGTTCTCCCTTTCCCTGGTGGTTATTTATGATGGCAGGAATAGGTATTCTCAATTGATAATAAAAGAAGACGGATCCTTCAATTATGATAATATTGAGTAAAGTATCAATCTACCTACATAGTGTTTCGAATTTCATTATGAAATGCAAGTGTTTGGTATCTCGTAACCTCATATACCTATTAATGATAATAATAATTGGAGTTGGCTATACTTCTCCAAAAGCAACATTTTCAACTCGTTTGTTGCTACCAAAAGCAATCTTAGGTTATTATGTGAACCTGTCTCTATATTGAAGAACTAAATAACAATGAGGTTCCAGCTACAGAAATACCAGTGCCAAGAAAATAATGAGAATTGAAAAGCTCCATGTTATCAAATCATCAGACTATATTATCAAGTTATGAACTCATGCAACTCATAGGCCACTAATAAATAACAAATGATGCATTTCAGAAGTACCTCACAACGAAGAATCAACTTTGAAGAGATGCCACCCAATAAGATGTAGATACCACATACCAACCATTAAGAAGCAGTCACTCCGAGAAGTTTCATCGTTGAAGAACAGAGAGGTCAAGAAGATATCATTGTGTTTTCTGGGAATCTAGTATGTGTCTGATTTATGATGAGAGGGTTATATTGTGAAATGTCGTTAATTGGCCATTACAGTCCCATCATTTATGTATATGCTGGGCTTGCTATGGGAAACCCAATGTGTCGATTATGTTGTACTGGCCTTTTGCCGGGAAACTGAGTATGATTGCTGGGTACCCAGCACTGGGACCAGCTGCCGGCCGCAGTATACTGATATATAGAGTCCTGCATATGGGACCATTTACTGGGCCGCTGATGTCAGGTATGGGAAAGATATATTAGGCCATTGATGCCCCATTTCAAAATGTTTGCTGGGTACTATCTTGTCAGGTGAATCCTGAACTACAGGGCCGTTACCAAAGAGGCACTCTATGGAAACCCATTCCCTTTCATGCACGATATTGTCACATTTCCTGATTTTAGATTTTTACAACGTTGATGGCTCTTCTCACTATTTGTCGATTTAGTCCCAGTATAAGCATATAAACCTTTCTAACTCCGTACCTACATTATTCTTCAAGTGACGGAGTACATGGTGCATGGCAGTCCTTGAGTCCTTACGGAATCACCGCTATATTTTTCATAATTATTGAGGTAAGCTCCTGAAATTGGCAAGATAGAGAGATATACCAAGTATTATTGGTCGCAAATTTGGCAAACGTATTCTTGTTTGGCATAACAATATGATATTGTTGATTCCTAGCTAAGAAGCGTATCCGCTTTTAGCAGGAAGCATCAGGCTGAAATTGTTATGTGATGAGTTAGCATGTGTCTGAAGACATTCCATTGCATGCGAAAACTTATTTGCTGCAATAAATGTAGCAAAAAAAAATTTGACATTTTAATCAATGATCAATTAGACCTCAATAGTTCACCACCTTTGAATTTGTTTTCTTAGTAAGTAATAATATGTATTTGCTATCAACTCATTCAAGTGAATCCGGTATACCGTATTTTAATGTAGATATTGTGCCTAATTTCCGAAAATGAAGGTTTATCGTACCTGTCCACATCAGGTAAAGAACCCTTCAGGTTGGGAAAGTAGGATATATAAAAGTCAAGCAAGCCAACGTTAGTTTAGTCACAGTTTATTCCT